GAATCCTGGCCACCAGTGAAGACCGAGGTGAAGAACTCATTCAGCACCTCAGCCTTTATAAGCAACTCAGGAACTTCTTCTGAACCAGATTACAGTCAGTTTAAAGTTACAGTCAGTTTAAAGGCAGTCTGAGCCACTGCACTCCATCACCAACAGCACTGACTTGTTTTACCTAGATGAAATGGGATGCAACCAGATTTATGATGCAAAGCTATATCTCAACAGTAGGTAATGCCACTAACACTTTCCTAAGGCAGGGCAGGGGAAATAAATATCCTTCAGTTTCAGGTTCCTGAAGGTGGGGAGATGTACTCACACCTTTGGAGCATGGCTCAGCACTCATGCACCCAGGTGGAGAAGGGGATGCAGACAGAGGCATTCTCACATACCTTCAAATGAAAACCTCCATAATAAAAGAGAATATTTCCAGTAACGAAAGCAAGAACTCTCTTACCTTTAACACCTGACAGCAACACTTGATAAACATTTCAAGGTCAGCCACATGCTCCACGACTTCAGAAGCTACAATTACATCAAACATTTCCACAGACTCCTCCACAATCTCCTCCAGTGAGCTAGACTTGTACTGTATTCTCTTGGCCAGAACTGGATCAAATGACTTGTGCTGATCCGCCACTCTGATGTTTTCTTCCAGAGGATCAATTCCAGTAACCGAAGCTCCCAGTCTACCTAGAGGCTAAGAATACAAAGTGTAATTTATTCTCTGCATGAAAGCAGAGGTGGTTTTTTTTTTTTTAATTAAAGGTGCCTTCAATTTCACAATGTCCGTAAGTGATGCAGGAAACAAGGCAAATGCCAATAAATGATGAGCTCTGGCCCAGCAGTTTTATTTTAAATGTTAATTAAAGGGAAAATAAAAACACTTAGCTTTAGCTGCCTTGGAGCAATAGTTTTCTCCAACAGAAAGCTAAATACCAGAATATATAGTATTTTTCAGAAAAACTTCTGAATCCACTTTGTTGCCCCAAATAAAGATTTCCTCCAACATTACCCTCAGGTAGAGGGAAAACAAAGGAGGAAAATCAACACAGCATGTAAAGGGGGAAAACAATGCCTTATTTAATTACTGTCATTACTTTCTTCAACATCCATCTGTAACGGCAAATCCTCATATCTTTTTAATGGTTACTTAACCCGTGATTATATCTGGGGCTTTCTCACTGCTGAGAACTGAACACTGATGCTTGCTAGGATAGCAGCACGCTTGGCTGTCACTCAAGCTCCTCCAGTGTCTTCTTACTCATAGGTTAACACCTCAGTCATCACCTCTTCTGAAACCGAAACAGGCTGCTGAACATGACCACATGTATGTTATTCCAACCCGAAATCCACCAGTTATTAGCCTGAGAGAGCCAGGCAGCACACCAGTTCTGCACGTCCTGTCAGAGAGCAGCTTTCATTAGACCACAGGATTTTGCTCAGAATGAATTAGGGAAAAAAAAAAAAAAAGAAATGGGGAGAGATTATTTGCAACACTTCATTTCAGATGCTGATGAATTTCCCAGGATCACTCGGCCACACCTGTAATGCTGAAGCTACAAACAACCCATGGTCTACTGATGAGATGCATGCTTAGAGCCTGTGCAACCATTTGGTTCCACCTCTCAGCCCCCAGGTTCTGCAGACCACTCAGGAGCCCATGCTGTCTGTACTGCAAACTAAGGTATTACTGGAAGAGCTCCTCCTCTGAGAATTAGAAATGGAATAGCATCACAGTTAACTCAAAAAATACATGTGCTTTTTAACAGGAAAAACAGGAGCACACCGTTTCTCACCTCACTCAGCAGTCCACCACCACAGCCAACATCCAGAATCTTGATCCCAGAAAGTGGGCTTCCCCGCTGGTAGGTGCTGCCCATGTTCAGCACAGTGTCTCTGGCAGAAAAGGGCAAACACACAGGCTGGTTCAGTAAATGCAACATGCAGTTAACTTACGTGCTGGTAATGGTTATACATTCTCAGTGTTTTCTGAGGTTGCAGAGAAACAGTACCCATAAAAACACCCGTCTTCAAACCCACACCTAATAAACGGCACTCTGATGTCATTCATGGAGTGCAGGGCTGAGTACTCTCCTTGCTCATCCCACCAGCTGTGTGCCAGGAGCTGGAATTTCCTCAATTCCTTTGGATCCACCGATGACTGCGAGGTGCTGAGCAGCCTCCTCGTGGTCACCCTGAGCAACGAAAGCCATGTCATGAAACTAATACCTGAAACGTGGTGAGAAAACACATTCTTCATAATGAGAGAATAGGAAAAAAAGAAGAAGAAAAAAAAGCCTTCATCAGACTCTCAGTATTTGTGGTATTTAGAAATGCCTTCGGGCGATGCCATCCCCTGTCACACAGCGTAAGTCCAGCCCCAGTCCTTACATGCTGCCGTTTAGGTCAGTTGGAGCGCTGCTGGGACTCAGCCGAACACTGCCATTACGGTTCAGGAGAGCGCCGGTGCAGCAGGACAGCTCGCCGCGGCCACCTGCGGACACAGAGGGGGCACTGAGCGGCACACACCGCTCTGCAGCTCGCGGGCAGAAAGCAACCCGGCCTGTCCCTGCTGCTCTGGGACTCCTACGCACAGCCTCATCAGCGTGCAGTTTGAATACCTACTGGTTACTGCTACGTTAGAAAAAAGGAAGGCAGTTTATTCTGACCGCGCCTGCACAAAAACGCTTCTGGATAAAACAACCCCAGGGCTCCCATCCCTGATTCACTGCAGGGCCGCACGCCCCTTTGCAGCTCACGCACACGGGCACCGGCCGACAAACGCCTGCGCGCAACCCGGCCGGGCGGGGCGCAGCCTGGCCAAGGCCGCCGCGTTGCCCGGCCCTCTTCAAATCGCCTGCCGCCTGCAGCGGCCCCGAAGGCGCTCGGGCCGCGCGGCACCGACCGCTACACCCCGCAGACCCTGCCGCCAAGCCGAGCCCCGCCCGCTCGCCCCCCTTCAACCCTTCCCCTCTCACCGGCCGCCGCCCGCCGGCCGCTCAGGGCGCGGACAAAGGCGCGGATCGTCCCCCCGCCGCCCACCATCGCCGCGCTGCGGGCCTCCCGCTCCGCGCGTCCGCCGGCAACGGGGACGGCGCCGCGGCGTTCCGCCGCTTTCCGTTCCGCCGGGCCGGCCTCCCCCACATCTCCGCTCTCCCCGTCGGGTTACGTCCGTGCGCTTCCCCCGCAGCGACGTGGTGCGGGGATTTCGCCGTTCTGACAGCTGTAGGGGTCTTCCCGCCCTTCCACAGAGGGAAGGCCCAGGAGAGCCGCCTGCCCGCACGTAGAGCCGGCTGCACCGCGGGGCGCGGATGGCGGGCACGGCCACAGCTGATGGCTGACGGCTGCACTGCGTGTCTGAGACATCGCTTCCGACCTGAATGACTCTGTGATTCGCTTAGCAGAACAAAGGCACAGTCTGGAACAAGAGAGCCAATATACACGCTGCCATTGCTTTTATATTTTCTATTGAAAGTAAAAGATAGTAACAAGTAATTAAATACACGCACGCTGGCATGTGTTTTACGTAACAGGATAAGCTGGTTCTAAACGGGAGGCAGCCATTCCATTACTGCATTCATCATTAACAGGAGATTTTAAGACAACAGCATTTAAGAGCAGCAGCCCAGTCTCTGCTCTCTCCCTTAAAATAAACCCTCAAAGGCACAACAGATTTTTCTCCCCAACCACAAATTATGCCATAATTCAAAAAGTTTTAACTGCTGAACCTTTAGACTCTCTTAGTTTAGTGCTCTTTGGCTTGGCCATGGCAGCAACCTGTTCCTGGACTGTAAAATAGGTGCCTTTGTGTACATATTCATGTTATTTTTGTTGTATTTGCCTTCAAAGCAGCATTTGCATGGAAACCAGCTCTCACTTTACTCCACACTGCCCTTGACTCGTAAATATTTCAAGGGAACCCCCCCAGAGTTGCCGCACAGCTTTCAAAATTGCATGCCTCCATCTCCTAGACTGCACAAGTATGGAAGCATTTTAAAAGGTTGCTTTAGAAAGGTAAAATAGAGTAACAATCCAACCTGGTCTTTTCCAGAACGACACATCCCCATTTTCGCAGTATATGTTTACATGTTTTAAGAACACTTCAACCGTACGGAATTAGGACCGGATGTTATTTTGCCTCGGTGCTTGACAAAACACTCATAAGGGAGTTACTAAACAGGAAGGAGCCTGATGGCTGTGGTGTTGCCATTTGCTGTTTAATGACAGGCAGGCCAGGTATGCTGCTCAGTAAGGTTTCCCCAACAGTTCAGAGATCGTATGCTCTTTTATTGGCATACAGTCACTACCCATTGAAGTGCATTTTGTGTCCAAAAAAATAGTTTTCATATTTACAGGAAGTGACAGAATTCCAGTTGCTGGCAGAATATATCAACCTTTTCACACAGTCTTTCTTTTATTGTTAGACAGATAATAGAAAATCTGAAGTGAAAATCAAATTCAATGCACTATGGAAACTGTATTCCTCAGTAGCTTTTCTTCAATTTCCTTTTAATTTTCTTCTCTCTCTCCATGTCTTCCTAAGATACCAAGTCTGCCACGCTACCTACTCTGCACAAACTCTCACTTCTACCAAAAGCCAACAGCGTAATGAGCTTGGATCAATGTACTATTATTTATACCAATAAAAGCAGTGCATTACAAATCTATGCCTTATTTTGCTGCTCGGTATGATTGCTTACTCTACGCTATATAAATTTTTGAGTGCATGTTATTTATAAGTGAATTAACTAATTATTTATCTGTAACAGGATTCTGGTAAACATGCGTGTATGCAACAGCCATTAAATTGCTTAATAAATGTATAGGTAAAATGTGATTCTTTGCAGTGCAGCAGCTTGCTTCTGCATCTAATTATGAAAAACATATATTGGCAAAAATGTTACATAGCTGCATTCTACTTCTAGTTAAATGGGTTAATCTGTTCAAGAAGACATGCTTTGTGAATTGCTGCACTGGTGCAATTTTTTCCCTAGAAGACACAACCATCAAAGAGCTCTCACTTTGATGCTGAGCCTTTTATCTTTTCCACCATCGGTATCAGAGCAGACCTTCTGGGCACAGACCTCCAACCTTTTCCTGAAATGATGTGCCTTCTCTAACAGGCAGAGGCCTGGGGTGGTGTGGGCTTTGTTTCTTTGTTTTTAAAGTAGTATGATTTCACATTCCTGTTACTAACAGCTGTAGTTCATTTCCCAAAAGATGTGATCAGTGATCTCTTTCACTTTATGACGATAAAAAAAATCTATTTCTGTACTTACATTTAGTTAAGTTGCTGTCTAGCCAATGTGTTCACTTTATAGGAACCACAGTTCTCATAACAATAGCATAAATAACCAGTTTTAATGTTCACTATACATTTAGAGCATGTGCCAAAATGTCATGTTTATCTATTGTCAGTTTCCTAATGCACGCTGAGTGCCGTTTATAAATATATTTCATCAAACATCTAACACACCGAGTCTCATTCCTGCAATGTCCCTGAACGTCCACAGAGTTTTCTCTGGAAATTGGGTGAGGAATAGAGTTCCAGAGCACTGTCACACAACATCAGTTCGTTGCACACATTCCTAATGGGGCTCAGTCTAAATACCGCTCGTTTTACAGTGACCCATATTTTACACACACACAGCATATGTTACTCGAGAGTCCAAATAAAAAGGATGTTAAAAATCTATTACACATCTAAAGGAAGATGTCTGCACTCCGTTCTTCCACATCCCCCACCCAACAGATGAATCTCATCGAATCCATGGGTAACATCCTGTGACAAGTTAAAATCTTTTCTCAAGTACTTTAAAAATTTGTTATACCAAAAAAGCTGCCTTTTTCTGAAGTATTTTCTACAATTTAACACAAAATCCAGGTGCAAGAACTTTAAACAAAAAAAGAACTAAAGAGCTTTATTGACATCACAGTACATTCAATAGTAATTTTAAGAACATTACAGCTGAAAGAGAATGGTATGTTTTATATTCTTATTAAGCACTACCGTTCTTGAAAAAATGTAATACAAAGAAATCCTATTAGGTATTTAATTCAGAGCAGCATTTGGAAAAAAATACACCTATTTACACATTAAAAAAAGGGTTCTGGTTTCACCTACATAGCCACAATGTGCCTCTATAATGAGACAAGCCTTTTATAACTCATGGAATTTTTAAACATCATAGCACTGGTGCCATTAATTCCTCAGCGTTTACGACGAGGAGGAGTTGTTGATCTGAAAAATAGAGGAAAAAGGGAGAAAAAGTTAACTGGAAAAAATAAAAGACCCCCAAACCCACACACACTTTAGGCTTAACAATTAATAGCTTTAAAAGAGTTTCCAAAGTTACTTTTGCCTACAAAAATTCAATAAATACCATACTTTATTTTAAAAGTTCATATGCCGTACACATGAAGACGAATAGCAAAAAAAAAAAAAAATAAAAATAAAAAAGCAGACAAAATACTTAAAAAGTATACTACCTTGATCGTGACTTAGACTTGTGTTTGCGGCTTGCCTTCTTACCAGACCTTTGAGATTTCTCCATGGAGCATGACCGAATATGCTTCGATTTCTTAGCCTTCTTTTCCTTACTGCTTCCTGGTGATTCAGAACTACTCCTTGCACTAGATTCAGAGCCTGACTGCTTCCTGCTATCTTTGGTAGTAACTTTTTTGCTGTCTGGTCTTGAATCCTGTCTTATTATTTTCACAGATATTGTCTCACTGCGAGGAAAAATTCTTTCACTGTCTCTTTTTCTCTTCAATCTATTGTCATCGTGATTACCAGCCTTGCTTTCTTTTTCCTCCTTTTTAGGCTTATCTTTTCTTTTTTCCTGATCTCTCTCCCTTTCTCTGTTCTTTTTTCTGTCTTTGTCTACGGTTCCACCATGCTCTTTCTTCCTCTCTTGATCTTTACCATCACTTTTGTGTTTGTGCCTATTTCCAGGAGGACTTCTATGCTGGTCTTCAGGTTTACGCCTATCCCTGCTCCTGCTGCGACTGGCACGGGCAACTCTCCTGTCTCTTGAACTACTACTCCTACGTCTATCCCAGCTCCTCTCCTGAGAAGGGCTCTGAATTCTCCGCCTCTCCCCTCTCTCAGCACTCTGATTTCTACTGGATCTTCTCCTTTCCCTTATTTTTTCCCTGCTTCTACTCCTCTCTCTTCTATTTCTGTGAGAGTAGCTCCTGCTTCTGCTGCGCCTAACTTTGTGTGAAGGTGTTCTACTGCGACTGTGCCTCTTCTTCCTTTTAGGAGAGGAAGAACGCGAAGAACTGCGACTACTACCTGAGCTGGTGCTATATGATGAACTAGATACAGTGCTGCTACTGCTACTGCTTCTGCTATTGCTGCTAGTGCTACCGCTACTAGAGGTTCTTGACCTACTCCTTCCTGTCCTCTCTTTTTCTTTACCCTCTTTTTTGGGTTCTATATCGGGTGCAATTGCATTTGGAGATCTTTTCTTGTCATGAACCAAATCTGCTTCAATTTCTTTTGCCTCCTGTGATGTCAAAATGCTGTTTTGTTCTTTGTTCAGATATTCATTCATCTCCTTTGAAACTTTATCAATTTGTAGCCTTTCTTCTAAAAAAAACAGACAAAAGAAAAAATGAACTTTCAGAAGTACTTGATGTCATTTCAATGGTTTAAGATAAAGTTCTCAAATAACTACCATCAGCCATGAGAACTCCCAAATCCATTTATACACACCTACATGTTCCTCCTGCAGCCATTCTACATACCAGAATCTCCTTTTCTTCTTCATATAGTACTCCCCTAGCTACACCTGAGCCTCCTGCCTCCCTTTCAGTACTGTTCATGTGGGGCTGAGTGATCACTGACTAGTTTAAAGAAAGTGTATTTCCCAAACAGGGCATGCATTGCCCCTGGATCTCAGAACAGTGTCAGCCATACCTGCCTGGATGTTTTGTGGGCCTTGTTAACAAAAAAGATCTTAGAGAAACTACTTTCTGCCGTAGTAACGCATGCTTGGTGTTTTTTTTTTTTGGAAGAAAACATTCAGGTGATGGCTTTATCAGGGGAAGAATCAGTTCTAAATGTTGACTAGTACATGCAGCTTGCTTTTTTCCTTTTTATATTTTTCTAGCCAAGGAATTCAAAGGAAGGGAGGAACAATACAAAAAGGGGACTTGTAGACAATTAACTACTTAAGACTGAGCTAAGAAGTAAAGACCAGAGTATTTACTACAGACAGATGACAATGTTCTTATAAAAGGAGGAGTTAACACCAGATGTAATTATATGTAAGCCTAATAGTTAGCAAATATGCTAAGGAGATAACTGCAGAAGTAAAAATACATTTCTTGAAAGTAACATAATCATAGAATGGCCTGGGTCAAAAAGGACCACAATGATCTTCTAGTTTCAACCCCCTGCTGTGAGCAGGGTCCCCAAGCACTAGAGCAGGCTGCCCAGAGCCACATCCAGCCTGGCCTTGAATACACAAGCCAAGATTTTCAGTGTAGCAAATGAAGAAATTCAGACTGTCAGAATATTTTCCAGAAGTTTCCAACTTTAAGGAAGTTCTACTTATTTCTGTTCTACATAGGATCTTTGCATCAGCATCCAAGTTCACCACCCCTCCTTGTTTTTAATCGAGTCCACAAAAAAAACCAACTAACATATCTTAGCCAAAAAATGGGTTTTGATGTGTGCCATAAATTCCATAATTAATTCAGGGAATAAAACTGCATCCAGAAATACAGAGTACTACAAATAGCAACTCATGGTCAAATATAACCCAGAAAACAATTCCATCTGGTCCCTGAAGATAGTAAGCAATGGATGCAGCAAAAACCAGTGTAGCTTAGGAGATGCTACAGCGTATACTAAAAATGTGTCTTTTCTAGAGGCCTCTACAAATGGGACCTTGACTTCACTATTCTGGACTTAACAGAATCAGCTTTTTCATTCTAGATTTAGGATTTCCGTCAGCAGCCCAGCACAGGTGTCTCTGACCTGGCATCTTGACTAAGTAGGCAGAGGTCATAGACCACAACTCATTCACACCCCATACTCCTTTTATGCATAATTCTTAAGACATGCAGAGATAGACAGGAACATTAAGGAAACCAAACGTTTAGTTAACACAGAGATCCATGTCTAGTTCTAGGCCTTTAAAATAAGTAGCAGAAGGAGGAAATCATCCATATTAAATAAATAAATAAACCACAAATTATCACAATAGCAGATTCTTCTTCCTCCAAGTAAAATTAGACCATGAATTACGTGGATTTCTTACCACTTATTCATCTGTCTCTCTAGATTGCTTGTTCAGCAGTGCAAGGTGACTGCAATACTCTTTTAAAAAATAAGCTTACTCTTAAGGATAAGCTTTGCCTTACAGGGAGGAGCAGAGGTAAATCACAGGTTTATTTGCTTATTAAAATCAACCCTGCCACCTTCTCAGAGGCTAAATCTGAACTGACTGGGTTCACTGATCTGTTTATAGTACTAGGTCCAAAAATCTTGTAATGAGGACATGGCATATGGATACAAATCATAATTACAACTAAGAGCACTGCTCAAAGAACTGTAGCCTACAACTGTCCATTGCAAAAGACACACTGCACTTATATAAAACAAAAGCAAGTTTTGGGGTAGAAATTAAATGTGCTTCATTTAGCTTTAAGGAATTAAGTTTATATAAACACAGACCAGTGCAGAGGGGTGAAATTTATCCCCCAGTCACAACTGAGATTCTAACAGATTTAAGTGTGTGTTTGTGTAAATAAATACCCACATGTGCATTTTATAAAGAGATACTATTATTTATGTAGTATATAATATCCACAGCATGCATCTATAATTTTTTTCACTGAGGTCAAAGAGTTCACATGGAGAACACTAGAAGGGGGCTTTTTGGTATGAAAGAAAGCCTAATTCTGATTAAATTGCTCAAAAAAGTCTCTTTTGTTAATACATTTAATACATTTTAATTAAAGAACATTATTTCTAAATTAGGCTTTTTTTTTTTGCTTAAAATGCATATTCTCTCCTATACATCAAGTATGATAAGACGACATGATGTTATTTACCTTCTAGCTGTTTTTCTAGTAGTAGTTGCTGTTCTCTCTCTTTTCTCCAAAATGCTTCCTGTTTTTGCCTGATTCTGTGTCGCAGTTCCTCATCATCAGTATCAGATGATTCAGAGCCTCTGTCACTCCTCTCATCTTCGCTGTCTCCTGATCCATAACCACCCAGTCCACCTGC